TTACTAAAAATAGAAATTTCTGTGAAATTCTTTCAAAATGCTACTCCTCCTACAGTTTTAGTCTGATTTCAATATAACTTGGCACACAAGTAGACTACACTAAGATACATAATTCTGTGTATCGGTTTTTGATTTCGATGAACGGTGTTGCCATGGTTACTAAAAATAACTTTCTGTGAAATTCTTTCAAAATGCTACTCCTTCTACAGTTTTAGTCTGATTTCAATATAACTTGGCACACAAGTAGACTACAATAAGATACATAATTCTGTGTATCAGTTTTTGATTTCGATGAACGGTGTTCCGTGGTTACTAAAAATAGAAATTTCTGTGAAATTCTTTCAAAATGCTACTCCTTCTACAGTTTTAGTCTGATTTCAGTATAACTTGGCACACAAGTAGACTACAGTAAGATACATAATTCTGTTTAGTGGTTTTTGATTTCGATGAGCGGTGTTGCCATGGTTACTAAAAATAGAAATTTCTGTGAAATTCTTTCAAAATGCTACCCCTTCTACAGTTTTAGTCTGATTTCAATATAACTTGGCACACAAGTAGACTACACTAAGATACACAATTCTATGTATCAGTTTTTGATTTCGATGAACGGTGTTGCCGTGGTTACTAAAAATAGAAATTTCTGTGAAATTCTTTCAAAATGCTACTCCTTCTACAGTTTTAGTCTGATTTCAATATAACTTGGCACACAAGTAGACTACAATAAGATACATAATTCTGTTTATCGGTTTTTGATTTCGATGAACGGTGTTGCCGTGGTTACTAAAAATAGAAATTTCTGTGAAATTCTTTCAAAATGCTACTCCAAATACAATTTTAGTCTGATTATAATATAAATGTGGCATGCAAGTAGACTGCACTAAGAACATAAAGAGACTTAATCAAGGATCATTATTCTATTTATTGCTGTTGAAAAGTTTCAATTTCCAACTGCTTAAGTACTTTTCTCTTCCTTTGCTATAAGTACAAACCAGTAGAGCTTCAGTCTCGACAGAGACTTCTGGTTTTATTCATGAAGTGTTCCACCAGGATTTGTCTGAAATTATCCTTTACAATAATAAGTATTAATTTAGCAGAAATGTGAAGAAGATATTGCTCAGCCAACATGTAAGAAATCTGCCACAGTTTGAATGCATTTATCTAAAGATGTCAGATGGTCCTCCGTGTGGAGCAGTGGTTAGAGCATCTGCTCTAGTGTTGTGAAGTAAAGAGTGGATCCTTATGTCGCGGGTTCAAATCCCACTGTGGGACGTGGAGACCAGTCCTTCTGATGAGACCATATAAACCGAGGTCCTGTGTCGCAGTTAAGGTGCTGGCACGAAAAGATCCCTCCCTGCTCAATGGCCCTCAGTGCCGAGTATAGGACAAAATTTGTAGCTCTCCACTGGCAAGTGGTGGCATCTCCATATGAGTGAAAAATTCTCGAAAAGGATGTTAAACAATACAATCAATCAATCTACTTAAGATGATGGGAGCACTGACATGATTTTCAAGTTATTTTCAAGTTCCCCCTATTCCAGATCAAAGGTAAAACGTACAAGCATACATGATTGGAACAAAGGGTTGTCATACGAAATGGTTGACTTGTGTATGATTCAGAAGATCATGTCCTAAAGAATCTCTTTCACTGCGAATTTGCCTTATCCAGCTCTCATCTCATGCATATCAAATTGAAATAGATCAATACTCTTATTTTTTCCCCCAAAGAAAAGCATATTTATACTGATATAAAAAACTAATTTCTTTCTCCATCTTCTACAATTGGGCCAAAATAAAATTATAGTTTGTTTGGAATTGCCTCCCGCCTCACTGAAATACCCCCCTCCTGAAAAAATTTTATTGACCAAAAATAAGGAAATTTTTTTTATTGTATCATTTTTTTTTTTGCCCATTACATGTATCACATGCACCATACAAAACACTGAAATATAGTCTCAGATCTATGTAAAATTAGGGTTTTTGTTGATGGTAGATGCTTTTTTTTACAGTCAGCAAAAATGCTTTTACTGTTTACTGAGATTTTTATCAAAAATTTAAAATTTATCTTCAATTTAAAAAAAAAAATAATTTCCCTCCCTCCCTCCTGGGTCTGAAACCCTTCAGGCGGCAATTCCAAACAAACATTTTTTTAAGGATGGCCTTGCAGTAATACTAAAAATGCTATTATTTCTTAGGGGTAATATCTCTGATATATTCCAATATTAATTTGTTTTTAATAACATGGAAAAGTGATCTATCTTCCAACAGAGTGGTGGCCAGGGCAAATCAATAGCCTCAAAATTAACTAGCAGACTAAAAAAAGTCCAACAGAATTACAAACTTGTACAAGATGCCTCAAGGCCCAGTCACTATGTTTGTATCTCTATTCCTGATAAAGACAATGCCCATTAACAGATTATACACCTTTATCCTGACATCCTGGGATCTTGTGTACTATGAAATCACAAATTTTTGTAGGGGGGGGGGGGGGTAATTTTCATTGTTTTAGAGGTATGAAAAGACCCATGAATTCATGTCCACCATGAAATGTAAAACGTTACATACATAACTACTCAACAATTTTTCATCCACGAATTCAAATTTCCATGAACCAAGAGTTTTTACTCAAACCACGAAAATTTGACCTTATGAAAACATGTGATTTTACAGTATCTTTTTGCAAACTTTGACACCTTCCAACAAACACTGATATGCTCAAACCCCAGGACCAATCAAAATATTCTGAATCAACTCTGGCATGGAAACACTGCATGGAAATTCTTGCTTTTTATAGTTCATCTGTGTTGTCTTCCTTGTGAAAAATATTCAAGAATTGGATTTCATATCAAACCTGTTCATAAAATGCAGGTTAAGACATCTTAATTTTTTACCATACTACAAGTCATGTATACTATATCACCATGTTTTTATGCCCCCCTAATTGAAGATTTGGGGGTATAAAGTTTTTGCCCTGTCCATTCATCTGTCTGTTTGTTTGACTGCAAAAACTTTATAACCTTGCCCATAACTTTTGAGTGGGTAGGAAAATGGCTTTCATATTTCACATGTGTATTCCTTGTTACAAGACAACCTTTGGATACCAACAATTTTGACCTTGGAGTTTGAACTGCATTTGAGATACTTCAACCTTTGACATAAGCTGCCATCAGGCATCTGAGTGTTTCACAAATACATCTTGTTTTCTAATAAAAGAATTATTTAAAAATGTTTTAGTTTGACTTTCTACTTGTAAAGTGACTACTGACATAATGTTATGGACCAGTAAATTTCTTATACATAGAAATCCTTAGACCAGTAAAATTTGAGGGAAACCCCTGCATTTTTTTTTCTTTTCTAAGAAGATTTGTAATTATTCAAAACTGATTGATGCATTCAATGGACAAACAATCTTGAAAAGCTCCAGGAAATGGGCTTTCCTAATGCTTTGCTAAATTGGAGATGAACATTAAAGAACTAAAAGAAAATTCAACACTCAACAAGAGATGGTCCTTGGCCCACAAAGATCACCTGAGTAACTTAATCACTGATGTTCTTCAGGAGATTTAATTTTTTAAAAAGATTTTTAACTATTCTAATCTGGAGTTTAAGATTAAACAAGATGCAATCACAACCATCAAAAAGCATTATTCGATTTCTGAAATATTTTAAAATAATTTAAATCTGTAAGGTGTAAAATATGTGAAATGGAATCAATATAAACAGACTATTGAAACCATAAATATATATCTATCAGTCAACCCTCTTAACAACAGGCTGTCAAGGGGTGTTCAAAAACAAAGTTAATCAATATCTAATTTTTTTTATTTTTTGTAATAAATGGTTAATTAGTGTAAACATATTTTATATGTTTGTTAAATTATATTGTACCAACCTGTAAGTGTTATATATTACAGTTACTATTGAACATATATTGATCAGAAGGATGTTTAGAGGTAAGTAAAACCAACTGAGGTACAGGTATATACTCAACCATTAAAGTAAATGCATTAAAAATTGTCTGGTTTGACAATACTAAACATCAACTTTTTGCACTAAAACTGGAAACTTCAAAGATAATAGCTGATGATCAAATCACTTACAAATTAAATAGTTCCTGTTGTTTTAGCCTACGTTAATTAATTCACACATATTACATGTATTTGTAATAAACATGTACTTGTAGTATTTATTGCAAGATAACAACCCCCCCCCCCCACCTCCTATTCTTCAATTCTATATTTTTTTTTTTTGCCAATAAGCTGCTCCTTTAAAATCCATGTTTCCCCTTAGTTTATACACAATATTACATCATTCATAATCAAAATTTATCACAGCTAGTACTGTACGTGAAATGTCTCTCCCTCAAGAATCCAATTAACTTTGAAAATAATTTCCAGGAATCTGCCAGTAATTGACATGTAGAGCAATATCAGCAGCTGAGCATTGGGCAATTTAATCCTCTACTCCAAATCAGTATTATACTCATATACTGATCACATGCTAACAGTAGTGTCAATCTACAATATTTATAAACACAGCTAAAAACTGTTATTTGCTTTATTTTACTTGTGGACATGTGTATATACTTATTTTTTTCTGTAATAATGTTTGTTCAATCCATATTGTTTCAAAAATATCTTTGTTGTACATTGTATAGATAAGTACAAAACATATGTCTATATATGTACACATATGGTCATTTTCATGAGAATATTTCATAGAAAATATTTGTGTTATGTCAGTAAAGCACACACTAATGACAAACTACTTAAGAATCCATAAGTTGTTCCCCCCATTTATCTCCATCTGCAATGAGGAGAAAAATAAAATTCCACACAACCAAAACCACTTGGCAAACATCCATTACTGAACACCATAACCAAAGGTAGTCTACACTTTAAACAGAAAGCTGGTGTGAATAAACATATGACCCAATATCACAAAATGGTGTTAAAAAACCCTTGTCTGTGACAGCTAAGTAAACAAAGAGACTGGTCACTTACCTACAGATAAACCAGCTCTGGGTAGGAAAGGTGAATGGTCGCCCCACAGCTTTCTCCCGGCCAGTAAAGTGGCTCAGATCTGGGAATCCCCCTGGGTAACCTCACTGCCACTGACCAGCAGTAATAAAAATTGGCACAATCAGATTCATACATCTAGCATATGTTAATAGTAACAATATACCAGGCACTATCCAAACTGCAAGGCTTCTGTCTGCAAAACAAATAACATTTGCTGTGTCCAGTTATATCTTCCAGTAATAATCTAGGTGCCATTAGCAAGATGAATCAAATACCCCATCAATATATCTCAACAATGATTGCCCAGAAATAGCTCTCAAGTATGTGAGAATATCCCTTTATAGAATATTAATGTAGATCAACTTGCAATTCTATACGAGCATGAATTTTATAGAACAAATAAAAAATAACACAATATGCAATTTTTTTTTTGGGGGGGGGGGGAAGGGGATAATTATAAATTGAAAATTTTGGCCAGCAATACACAGATTGTGAGGTGTTTGACCTCTCCCTATCTCTAGTTACTGGGTTAAATCGTTTTGTCCAGCACTTTCTATTTACTCTGCATTGGCTTGTTATCTGCTTTAGTCCCTCGTTACTTAACTCTGGCGGTCCATGCCCTGACCTTTCTGAGCCTTCGTGACCTACCAGTGCACTGACCACTCTCCAGTTCAGTGTAATATTCCCTCCATACATCAAAGAGCTAGTTTTGTGGACATTAATTATGTGTTGTGTTTATAGATCACCACTGCCTGGCTGGCAATATATGATGGGCCATAAAGTTGGCTATATTTGGATCATTGCTCTACTTATTTTGTCAAAGTATATTTGAGTAGTCTGAATGAGATACACATGTGCTTATGTTTGCATGTAACTCGCTTGAGTTTGAAGCTCAGGTTAGCTTACAATTCTGAACACTTTGATTAGGTAAACTGAAATATATACTGTATAAAGGGTAGGGCTGGGACGATACTGAACATAGCCGATCCGGTACATATCACGATACCTTAGGTGTGATACGATACATATCACGATACATTTAAAACCAAATAAAACTAGATAATTTTCTTAGAACATTTAATTTGGAACATAACAGTGTATGAAAATAAACTAATTCAACAAATGAACTCGACTTACTGCCATTGGGTTTTGTTAATTCGTTACATAACCCGGCGTGTCTGATGCCATTTTGACGCTTATTTTTTAAATTCTGTTTCACCAAGACATTTGTACTTAATTTCTGTTTGTTTAAACGTCTTGGTGAAACAGACTAAAGGACTAAAAATTTCGAATTCTAAAGCCCCGACATTTTTTGAAATTAAAAAAAGTGCGGTCAGGTATCATGATACAAAATTAGATGAATCGATCCGTAGATCGTCAAAGCGAATACTGTGATGCATCGGTGCACCGGTGGATCGTCCCACTACTAATAAAGGGTTATTTCCACCAAGTATTATTTTTGCCCTTTTGCACTTGCAAACAATTTTGTTTTGCTGTTTTCTTTGAATTTGCCCATCAACTTTAAATTCACCCAACCATAAATAGGGCGAAAATAAAATGGGGCAAAAATTTCCATGCATATACACTAGCTGTATGTTACTAGAAATGAAATGTACTACACTAGCCAATGTATACATATACGGTAACATCTTTAAAGGATTAACAATTGAACTGGTTAACATACCTTACTTTTTACCTGTATTCTGATGATTGGTATTTCAAACACTAGCATAAGAGGCACAATCTGTCTGAAATGTGCGAGAGGGAAGGGGGTGGGTCATCTCTTAAGGTTGAAGAACTTACATTGATTAATTAGTACCTCTATCTTCCAACCTGTGTTATAGAATAAAAGAACACCAGACAATATTCACTAAAACATTACTAATAAAAAATTTTCAAAATTATATTAATTGTTCAAAGTTACCTGCAGATTGTCTTTAACAAACATTGGGAAAATAAATCTTCCAATCGGCTATTTGCTGTATTTATGCTAAAATAAGATAAAGTTGAATGAATAAGACACTAAGAAAGCAATAAACAGTTAAAGTCAGTGTGGTAGGTATCTCCGCACTAATCATCTTGCGACAAGCAATATTAGCAAGAGGTAAGAGAGATAACTCTATAATCACATTACCTACGGGTTATTCATCCTTGGTTAAGATTAACCTATCCAATTAAGATCTGTATATTTTTCAATGACCTAGTTATTCAAATTGAATACTAATCATAAACAAGAGGCTTATGGACCACAACACTCACCTGAGTAACTTTGGCTTTACACTACCCCAGGATGCTTCAACATAAGTTTCAGCATTTCAGGTCCAGTGGGGGTTTTTTTGGTTGAGATTTTTGATTTTTTCCAATATCTTAATGTAAAACTTGTATTCCCTATAGTGACCCCACCCTACCTGCAGGGGGTCATGATTTGAACAATTCAGAATCTACACTACACCAGGATACTTCCACATAAGTTTCAGCTTTCTGACCTACTGATCCTGAGAAGATTTTAAAGATTTTTCCTATATATGTATTTCGATCAATGTAAAATTTGGATTCCCTACAGTGGCCATGCCCTACTCTCCAGGGGGTCATAATTAGAACAATTTATAATCTAACACTTCCATGAGGATGCTTCCATATATAAGTTTCAGCTTTCCTGGCCCAGTCATATTTTAAAAATTATCCAACAATTGAATTTTGTTCATGTTTATAGAACCAATTCCATGAAATTCACAATTTTGAAAGAGGAACCATTGCTTATCATAACTATACATTAAGCATGCTTTTCCACTATATAATTAATAGGGCCCCATCCTAAGACCAGAACCCCTGACCCAGGGACAGTGAAATTCATAAATTTGTAAGAGGCATCCTTCCTCATCATAACAATGTACATAGTTCATTGGCTTAAAACCCTGGTGCAAAGGAAAAGCTTTTCAAAGAATTAGTGCATTTTCACTATACATGTAGAGCCCCATCCAAATATGAGAACCCTGACCCAGGGGCCTTGAAATTCACATTTTTATATTTCCTCCATCCCTCTGTCTGTCGATCAGTCTGTCCCACTTGGTTTTCCTTTTTTTTTCTTTTTTTTTCCGAAACCTATGCGGATATTGAACTGATTTTTTGGTAATTAAGTGAGTATATCTTGATGAGGTACAGATTAAGTTTGCATTTTGTTCCTTGTCATTGATTTTTGACAAATTGTGGCATTTTTAATTTATTAATTGGGATTACAATCCGGTTCATGATGCACTAAATTAATATTCCAAATGAGCTTGTATCGTTGACGTTAGAAAAGGGGATCCCGGTAGGGCACATGTATTGCTTATGCACTACTCTCAGAATGCTTGTTGTAATAGCCTTCAGATGATGGATATCACCTTCATTTTCATGGTGAACAAGCTAAAGTAGTTACAGCAGGATCATTCCCAAGTAATTGCAATATTGGTTAAATCCAGTATCTGAACCCATTGCATGCAGTCTTGTAATATGCCTACATCGTCGATGCAAATTTGGTCACCATTAGAACTTATAGAACTTTACACTAGCTAGAAATCTTCTCAAACTTAAATTTATACAGGAAACTTAAACCTATGCAGGAAATGTAGGCACACCTGCTAGCTGTAGATCTAAAGCTCGCTGGTCTGAAAAAAATGAGATAGACCACACTGGCTGCATCTTCGTCTGCTTTTTTTCAGTCCAGCAAGATCTGCAGCTAGATCAGATCTAGTCCAAAATATCTGATGTTTTATCCGGGCTTATTTTCACGGTTTTGAATTAGCAGGTTATGGTTTTGGACCCTGATCCTGCATCCGAAATAAGTGGCAGTGTACATTCATAATCCATGCATGTTTGGTCGGGAATGAGACCAGTGCTCCTCCGTAAGTACACGCTTTTCCACACTGAGAAAATCTTAGAAAAATCGGGTACCTGTGCTTTTCCATATGGAATAGTCGCTTGTTTGGCGTTGTGGTTAGAGCGCTTTCTCTAGCATAAATAGTAAGTATTCGAATATTCCACGTACTGCGGGACGTGGAAACGTAATCTCAACGAGATTCGTAAAAACTAAAATCTCCCATCTATTCCAACGAGAGTTATCTTTCTTTCTATTGCAATCATGAATTTTCCATAATTTTAAATAACGAGGAAATATCAGCATGGTACATGTACATGTTCATATAAAATTCCTATTTTCCCTAGAAATAAAGAATGGATATGGGTTACATGTACCCCATATCCAAAGATATTCGACTTTTAGATTTAATATGTTAAACAGTGTTTAATGACTTTTATAAAAAAAAAACTGCACTGTCTAGTTATGAACTTGTGTAAATTTCGCGATTCCGTAGCATTACGGTCACTCAGTCTCTTAAAAAACAGTACACATTACCTGTGTCCGCAAGACCAGTTAGCCTTGGTCTGCACACGTGCGATGGAGTTGGCAAACGCATCTACCGAGCTCGGAGAGTTTTACGCGTTTTGTTTTGCCGAGAAGTAACGATGGCATTGTTACAACGCGAAATGTAATAACAACGCGAAATGTAATAAACATGGATTATTACATTTTGCGTTATTACATTTAGCGTCGAAATCAACGCAGAATGTAATAACGCAAAATGTAACAACACACTTTTGAGGATTATTACATTTCGCGTTATTACATTTTGCGGCGAGATCAACGCAATATGTAATAACGCAAAATGTAATAACACGATTATTGAATTATTACATTTTGCGTCGAGATTAAGCCAAAAACAAGAACGCAAAATGTAATAACACACTCTTTGTTCAGCCAGATTGAGTACAATATTTATATAATAGTGTTGCATTATGCATGTACTATGCCTAAATAGTAGGCAGGGTTTTACACATGGTGCACGAGCCGGAGGCGAGTGCCTTGTGTCAAACCCTGCACTTTTTTAGTACATGCATAATGCAACACTATTGTTATTATTATGCTGACTGTTGTAATTATTTATGCGGCAATCTATTTGACTTTTTCCTGACAATATCGGTGCTTAAACAGCGCACTTGCAAGAACGCATTCTAAATATTCATACTAAAATTGTTTGCATGCTTAGTTATTTTGGTAACTAGTATTTTCTCTAAATAAGTCGGGATTTTCCCAAAGCAACACATCTTTATTTTCTGTTATGTTAGTAAGCCTTATTTGTTTGCAGACG